CGCAGACGTCACATTAAATCTGCATAAAAAGAATCACTATCTTCTTACAGTAATGTGTCTTATACGATATAGCAGCTACAGATTTCCAGTTTAGAATAACTGCAGTTTGTTTTTTCCAACTACGTTTTCACATCTACACAGTACAACACACGCTTTAAGTTTCTGCAGTACAGACAGTTTTATTGTTTCAATTAAAAACGCTCTTGATAAATTTTATTTTATGATTTGCACATATTTTTTAAAAGCAATGAAGTTATTTTACAATATTTTTATTATTGAAAGCTAATGCTGATTTCCGAAATGAACGATTGTCAGGGAATTCTTGTCTCAAAGATATCCCAAAAATTTCTGAAAATTATGAGGAACGTGAACACTGGAATCAGCGATCAGTGACAGTCCGCTAATTATTTATAATACTGATTCTGCTTTTTACTTGAAATGTGTATTAAAAAAAGGATTTGTTATCAGATGCGAATTACTTTCGATTCAACGTGTTTAAATGATATATCTAATAATGAAAATTTCTGAACATGAAGTGACCATTCACTCTGCTGAGCTCAGGTTCTGCTAAATGTACGATTTATCCAACACTGTTTACTTGACTGTTCTTGATCACTGCAATGATGTATCAAACACGCCTTGTTCAATAGTAAAAAAATTTTCTATTTAGAATGTAAAATAGAATTATAGATTTGTGCCAAATATTTTATTTTATGACAGTTAAATACCAGTGTCGTCAGAAATAAAAGGACTAAAAGATTCTTGTTGCAAAAATCTTGAAAACTGTCTTCAGCAGAGGATGTTAACGTTTTGCGTATTTGATGGTCGGCCAATTTTTTATGGCAGACGCTTCAGGAACGCCTATTGCTTTTCAAATGGATCTTTTTAAACGTTAGATGAAGTAGTTTTTTTATAATTATAGCATCCAAAAATTTTTAAAACTGTGATTTTACCTGAGCATTGTTATAATTATATCTTATCTGTTAGCTTTTAACAGGTTGCAAAATCCTTTTTTCAAATTTTAAATTCTTATTGTTCTTTTGAAATTTTACATCTTTTCGTAAAATAGAGGGAAGTACCTAACACATTTCTAAGGTGCTGGCTTTCTCTTAGG